TTATTTAAAATCGATAAGCTAAGTAATAAATAGAAAATTAAAAAGAATATTAAATATTTAATATATTAGAAGAATAGTAATAAGAAGTATAATACTTAATATCTATTATATACTTTTTTAAGAGCGTAGAACCTTATAATAGAATATAATATACGCATTTTTATTAATTATATAAGAAGTCGAGGAAAGAAATAGTTTACTACGTAAGCATCGATTAAGAAAGTATTTACTCTATCGACTTTTAAGAAGCAAGTTGCTTTTATAAAAAAGCTAGACTATTCTCGAAAGAAAAATTATACTTCTTTATCTTTAGTCTAAACGATTTCTAAAAATCTGACTTCGTCTATACTATCGTTATCGTCTACTTTACTATCAAATTCTTTTATTACTTCTACTACTCGTCGTAGTATACGACTTTTAACTTAGTAAAGAAAGTTTATTCTTACTAAAAAAGGTTTTTCTTTCTACGAAGTAACTTCTTTCCGCGAAGAAATATCTTTCTATTAAGAAATAGTTCTAAGTGAAATTATATACATAAATAATATATGTGTATAATGTGATAATAATAAACTATATAGGTCTATAGTAAAAGAAGTCTCTATAATATCGTAGTGCTAAGGTATTAAGTCCAATTGAGACGTCTAATAGAGAAATCTATAATAAATATTATTAAAGAAGAAAAATAATAGCGTCCTCGCTATAGATATGAAGATATTAGAGATATATTATATATCGTAGATTTACTTCTTCTAAATCTTCTTTAGCTATTCTTAATTTATAACTATTATATCTTTCGTATAGCGAATATAGTCGAGCGAGAAGACGAGTTAAGAGATAAGAAAAGAGATAAAAAGAGAGATAAGTAGAGAGATAAGAAGAAGTAAAGCGTTATCGAGGCGAATAATAGACTCTTCGTAATAGTATATAGTAGCCTAATATGAAATAGTAGAGAGCGTGCTTATATTATTATTATCGCTATTACTAGCGATACTCTACTTCTTCGTAATTTTCTCCGTAAATTTCTTCGTAGTTTTCTTTATAATTAACTATTACTATAATCTATATTAAGAAGCGATAACTTAATACTTAATAAGATGAAATTTAGCTTTAATAGCTATTAATTTAATCTTAAAAGCTATTAATTTAATCTCGAAGACTAATATAGTCTAATTAATTACGTTATTAATTACGATAGTAATTATAGCTTATAGAGAGACTATTTACTCTACTATAAAGTTAGATATAAAGCTAAAAATATAATTATTATACGCTATAATAATAGAACGAATAGTCTAATAAAAGAATCGCTATAGATAAGTATAATAGAGTTTAATTAGAAGCTGAACTAAGGCGAGATAGACGTCTTAAAAACTCTAGAGATACTATACTCGATAGAAGTAATATTCTCTATAGATTTCTCTAATAGTAAGTATTATAGAGTTCGTGTAGATATTAAACGAAGGCGAGGTAAGCGAATATAACGAGGATAGCTAGTGCTAGACCTAAATCGATCGAGGTATTATTATTATTATTAAGAAATAATTCTAAGTGAAATTATATATATAAATAATATATATGTGTAATATGATAATAATGAACTATATAGATCTATAGTGAAAGAAGTCTCTATAGTATCGTAGTGTCAAGGCACTAAGCTCAATCGGAACGCCTAGTGAAGGAATTCGTAATACTTTCTAAAAAATCTTACTACGAATTAAGAGCTATAAGACTTTCTTTACTTAAAATCCTTATCTAACTTATATAAAAAAAGAAAGTTTATATTTATTTAAAGAAATAACTTTCTTTACTATAACTTTCTTTAATATTCTTTATTTAAAATAAAGTCGTTCTTACTTATAGCGAGAACGCTATCTTTCTTTCTTTCTTATTAATATATATTATAACTTATACTTAATAGATATACTTAATAGAAGCTAGTAACTAATAACTTAATATAACTTAATATCTTAGATATATTTAGGCAATTAGATTTCATAGAAGAAGAATTATCTTTTTATTACCTAAGAAACGTCTTTCTTAGAAAGATTTCTAAGTATCTTATCAGTATTAGTATATATAAAAGAATAAGGTAGGGCTGAGCTTGAAAACCTTAAATTTGTATGTGCAGCCAATTATCAATTCAGGGTCACTACGCTCTTTGGTTAGACCGGCTGAGTCATCGCGGGTAAATAAATTAGCGTCCGCAACTATCAAAATCTCTCAACCACGTTACCCTACTTTTAACCCTTTAATAACTTTACTATTTTCTATTGAAATTTTGAGATTTTTTTTTTAAATTATAGCCCGCAACTTGCGCTTTTCAAAAATAAAAAAGTTCTAAAATTTGGTCTTATAATTTTTCAAATACATGGAATTCAAATATCGCTCACCAAAGATCGCTCACCAAAGATCGCTCACCAAAGACCGTCTATTAAATTTACTCGACAGCCCTAATTAAAAGAAATGATTATGAATTTAATTTATAGGCCTTTACTCGTATTATTATAATAGTAGTATTATTAATATCTTAATTAAACTATTAAATAAAACTATAAAAAATATTTTAATTATTAATTATAAAAAATAATTAGTAATATTTAAAAAGTAATAATTTAATAAAAGTTTATTAAATATTAAAGAGATATAAGATTATATATATTTAATAAGTCTAGATTAATTATAATATATTTATTTTAGAATAAAAATATATGCGTAATTATTTATTATAGTCTATTTAATATATATAATCTTTATATATCTTTCTTTATTAGAAAAGTACTAAAGAGAATTATCTTAAAGTTTTTTTTAAAAGTATTATAGATAATAAAGTTAGCGCGATATTATATTTACTTTAATAAATTATAATAATTAACTCGAAATTTAATAAAGAGCGCTAAATTTTACGAGAACTTTTTTAAATATATTTATTCTCATATTATACTAAGTATTTAATTACTATAAAAATACTAATTCTTCTTTATCGACGTATTTTAACTTATTTTTAAGATTTTATTCTTTATAGTCTACTTTTAAATTTTTATATATTAAATCTAAGAGTACTAGTAAATTTATAAATCTACTTTATCTCTTACGTAAATATAAAATATAATATTTATTATCTAAAACCAGCGTAAGTTATAGATTATAGAGTCTTATTTAATTAATATCTTATCTATATTCTTTTCAAATAATTAAATTATAAAATATTTAAATTTAATAATTTATTCTTTAAATATTTATATATATAAATAATATATTCTTCTCTTATTATAGAGTTATTCTTCTTATTATAATAATATATTTCGATATAATTATTATTAATTTATATACTTCTTAATCTCTATTCTTATTTAATTAATATTTAAAGTTAATTTTATCTTCTAATTAATCTCGTTATATCTTTAATTTATTATTAAATAAAAGAAGTATAGAATAATATAGATATTAACTTAGATTATAGTAAATATTATATCTTTTAATCTATAAATCTAAATATAAAGCTCTTTTAATAATTAAAAATATTCTTTAAGATAGTTAATTATATACTCGCTTTTAATATAAATTCTTAATAGATTTAAGTTAAAAATGCGATTCTCGCGTATATCGCTAAGGGACTTCTTATAAAGAATTATATACTATATTTTAATAGAATATTTAATATCTATCTAGATTTATTTTCTCTTTATTAATAGCTTTATATAGTTTTAAATAAATTATATAGCGATAAAGTAGTATATATTATAATAATTTTCTATAAAGCTTAAAATATAATTAATAATCTTAAGATTTAAAGTATTAATTATTTAAATATTTATAGAGTAATTACTTTTATAATCGAATTAGATATTATCGTATTAATAAAACCTCTAAAATATAAATATAAAAGTTTTATCGATTATATATTATTCTTCTCGCTATACTTCTTTATCTAATTCTTTATATATTCTCTTTCTAATTCTTTCGCTAACTATTAAATATAATCTTATTATAAATTACTATTAAGAATTACTATAATTTTTTAATAAGTAATAATATTTACTAATTTATATTCGATTTCGACTTATATAGTTACTCGCTAAATTAATACTTTATTAATATATATTTTAAATATATCGAGAATAATAAGTAAATATTATTTTATTAATATTTACTTTAATCTATACTTAAAGTTATTATAAAATATTATTATTAAATTAAATCGCTCTATTAATTTATTAAATATTTAAAAATTTATATAAGCGTATTATTAAAAGAGATTTAATTACTTATACTTTTATTTTAAATAAATATTTAAATTCGCTAATATTTTAACTATAAAATAATAAGACTTTAGAATATATTTTTTAATTATATTTAATAATATTTATATTATAAAATTTATCTCTAAATTAGATAAATTAAAATCGCTATTATTTAAAGTATTAATTATTTTCTTAATAAGTAAATAGCTAATATAAATATCTATTAAAACGTATTTAGACTTTTTTCTAGCTATAACGTCTATAGAATTAAACTTAATAAGAGATAGCGTATTATATATATAAAAGGCTACTCTAGAATATATAATAGAATACGTAATAAGTAGCTTATAAAGTTAAATTGTAGGTTCAGAGTTACTATTCAAAAGTCGTTTTTTTTCTACTTATCATAAGGCTGAAATAGGGCTATAGGGGGAAATAAGTAACTTATTTCATAAGTAGAAGTAACTTTGATAGCCCCTAATGTCAGGGATAGATTCTCATTTTCGGATTCCGCTTCCGGGTGGCTGACCGTTTTCACTTCCTGGAGCTTCGTTACCGCGCCATATAGTTGCGGCGTGAAGGCTCTCGGAACGATAGGGGGAAGACTATAGATTTTATACTAATCTACGGACCCACCAGGTTATGTTCAATGCAAAACCGGAATCCATTACATAATGATACAGAAAAAGCCAGATCCTGTGGGTATGAGGTGTCATGGAACGCCGAAACACCATGCTCAGAATGCAACTACCCAAGCACTCAATTCGAGAGATGAGAGGTCGCCCTCTGTAGTTGATGATCGTGTACTTCAAAGAAACAATCTCTCAATTCGTCGTAACGATAGGCCCGGAATTCAACACCATAGGGCTTCTATAACCAGCATTAATATGGGTCCAGATACGTTGTATAGCGGTTCTTACCGGCTCAAGCATGTACAGCATGCCCAGCGGGACATCGAGATCCGCCACGTCCTCCCTCTTAAGACCCTTGAAGTAAGCCAAAAGTACTCGAGCGACAGACCGATGCCCGACAAGCAAAACGTGATCCGTCATCCTGTCGCTGGCAATTAGGAATCCAGATCTCATAAACAGAGAGGAGACTTGAGGCCTCTTACCTCTCGACCTCGACGATAACAGCCCGCAATCGATTGATAATATCGAGGTATCCTTCCCCGCCTGCACCAGGGTCTGCGAAAATTCTGGCGTCAGCTCGTCATCTTCAAGGTACAAACAAGAACTATGAGGCAGCCTCATAAGTCAAAAGAAAGGGGTCGTCCCGGAAAGTGGAAGAAACAGCAAGGGATATACCTACATCGATAATGCATTTTATCCCTCTGTCGAAGCCGAAATTCTTCGTTGTGCTTGGTACGGATCTCCTCATACGTCAGTCCTTCCATGGTCCCAGCGTTGAGCTCGTCAAGCATCTTGAATTGCTTCGTGTCATAATCGTCTTCGTCAAAGAACTGGGCTGTCTGGATGCTCCGTTTGAGCATTGACGTCCACACGCAGAAGCTCTTAGGAGATTCGCTGTCGTCAGGGTCCCCATGGTTGTATTCCGGGTTTGGAGGAGTGGTATCGCCTGGCAAGGGCGGAAAGTGAGTTGAAAGGGCCTTGTCGCGCTGATGTACATCCCAGGCTTGACGTTGATCTTTGATGAACATTGTCAGGGCTTTTGCGTATGCAATGCCCCTCTCACTCAAGTCAGAATCTCCACCGATCCTGCCGTTGACGTTGTCGACGGACTCCCCATGCCTGGTGATCCAAATCTGTCGGGGCGCAAGATTGAAGTTCAGAAGGTAATAAACGGTCTGTGCTGATAGAAAACTAACCCCTTCGGAGTCAGCACATCCTATTCAAGACATCATGTCGACTTGTGAAACAAATCTAGGGAGCAAAGTTGGGGAAAGAAGCCCCTTCTCTGCTCTCAAAAACGTAGCTCACGGCTCCGAGTGAGGTCTGAATCGGACCGCGCACCCCCCGGAAACGACATACGAAACTACATACCCTCGAATCTGATGAGAGACTACCTTCCGTCCCACATCTATCATCTGAACGTAGGGCGTGTTGTTTTTCTCTTCGTATTCCCCGAGGGGAACATACTTTGACTGGTACAAGGCCACCCGCTTTTTGAAGTCGTCCAATGCTACAAGAGGATCTTGGTCTCGGTAGTCCGGACCTAATGCCGATTTGTGAGTCAGCATTACCTTCCAGACACAGAAATGGACCGGCTAGGAAAGGCCAAAGCTGGGAACGGACGTACCGCTCAGCTTCAGACGCATGTTGGACTCCAACAATTGTTCGTCGACACAAAGAGATTCGAGAAACAACACTCCAAGTTCAGGACCAGCCCGCTCTCTGATTCTCTCCATCACGAGCTTTCGCCTTTCGAGCGTACTATTGGTCGCGTCAAAGATCCCCACTGAGCCCCCCTGATCGAGGATGTAGTCCAGGAGTTCGTCCAGCGTTGCCATTGCTATTTCGTCTCGGATGTGTGCTGCCTGTTCATTATTGGGGTCAAAAAATGATGCGTCGTGAATCTTTTCCATCGATTCAGTCCTGTGCAGCGAAGGCGCTACCGCCTTAGGCGCCAGTCTTCCATCCTGAGTGTTGCTGTTGGACACAATATCCAAGGTCGAGTCGCGGGAATTCGCCTCTTTTGCCAGGTCCAATGCCGGTGAAGGAAGCATTTCAAGGGGTGGAGGTTCACCATTGATCAATATTTTCGTAGAGGGCGTAATAGCGGTTTTGGAGTTTCCATCGGTCAAGAACCCATTTGATGATCTCGTAGTGAGACTGATACTCTGTAAGGGTCGCTGAGTCCTGGAAATGCCTGGAGGTCCATTCGAACCAAGTTCTCCAGCTGCGACACGCCTCCTTTCGCCGACGTTGAATATCCGTGTGTCATGCTGAAGCCAATTAAGATACCGTGCAATTTTCTTGGTTACATAGCTCTTTCCCCTAGCTGGTAGGCCTACCATAACGATGACCAGTTTAGAACCAACGTCTCTCTGGGCAATTCTACCGTCAGGTGACACACTCGATTTTGTCAGGCCGGGGATATCCAAAGTAGTAGGCCGTTGGCGTGAGGCTGGTGTGGAGGTTCCGGAGTCTCTTCGCCGTGGTGGACTTCCACACGTCAGCTAAACTTGGCTTCAACCTACATCAAAGGTGTGGAATCCGACCTACATTATGGGGCTGTTCGGCGCAGTAGTCAATGGTGTGTCTGTCAAAGCTGAACCGTTTGTACCACCCTGCTTGCTACCTTGTTGGGGTGCTGCCAAACTGCTTCCAGAGACAGGTGCGCCGAACGCTTTGTTAACTTTCTCCTTTTCTTTCAACAACTCGTTCTCGTCGGGTGTCCTTGCGCCGTCCGAGCTAGGGGTGGAGAAATGACTCATGATGGCAGCTAGATGACAATTTCCCCGTCAGCATTGCCTACATGAACGGGAACATCGGGCCTTAGAACAATTTTGAGACTCTCAAGACAAGTCTCAAATCTTTAAATTTGGTCCAAAAGGGGAAATACGAATTCGGAAATACGTACTCTTGGCGAAGACTGAATGTTGGCTCTGTTTGCGATGAGGAGGGATGTGGGGGGAAATCTCCTTTGCTTCTGAGAGGCGGTCGTGGAACGGAACAGGCTCTCTATACTCGCCATTGCCCAACAGTGGCATCTCTAATCAGCTCAAGCAAGGGGCTGGGGTGCCGTGAGTCCGTGCGACTTGCCCAAGCCGAAGCTTTGGGCTTAGAATGTCGACCAGTGGGCTTTTGGGCGACTTTATCTAGAGCAGAGTTGCTCATGAAAGTGTTGTCGTATGCTCTGTCGTTCAAAGGATAGGTCGGTAACTAGGATTACTTTTCCCAGCCACGTCTTTAGATTGAAGCTCAACTACTGCTCAAGTCGTTTGGTTGGCGGAATGATTGCAGTGGCTGTTCGGCAAGGCGAGCCAAGGCCCAGGGGGAAGCTCTAGCGCCCGATGCGCCCTTTTAGATCATCTCCTCTTTCGCTCTTTTGCAGTCTGCAAGTCAATTGCGATGTTAATTATTACCTAGCCGAAGGGATGATTTTAAACAGGTCGGTACCTATATGATTTACGGGAATTTTTTGATTTCGTTTCTCTATTGCAGCTCATGAGATTTGTCATGTGTCATGATTTGAATCGTTGTTCCTATCCGCAATTTTCCATGGGATCGCCGTCCAATCTGCTGCGTTTTTGGGGACACGCGCCCGCATAAACGCTCGCTATTGTACTAAACTACTAATGTACCCTTACTCGCATTCCCGCTGCCCTGCTTGCCGAACAATCCCTGGGTCGGCCACTTATCATTAGCGAGCCGGAGTAAGACCGCCCGACCAGCCTCTCGGTCACCGAGAGTCCGAATCTTCTCTCGAAAAGTCCTGCTGGTGCTGGCTGCTTATGCGGGAAGTTTCAAGGTGAGAACCAGCAGGATTGTATACGCCGCTACCGACAATGCAGTCAGCACCACGACAACGTTCCCGCTGGTTCTGAATCTTTTCTGGTTCAGCCCGTGGTCTCCAATTTCGGAGAAAAACTGTTGATTTCCCTGTTGTCGGCGGAAAAGCGAAATTAGAAGAATGCCGGCGCCGTACACTGCGAACAGGGCACCCTATCCCCAACGCCGGAGTAAGCATTACTACCCCATGACATGGTTTGAAGAGTGCGACGATTCTGAGCAGCTTTCAAGTAGCGAGAACCGACTCCTGCTCCCGCAAAATGTCTCGAGATTCAGAACAAGGTACTGATTGAAAGGCAAAACCCGCTCCGAGAGATGCTTACGATTGAGTAGAATTCGGCTACATGCTTACATCAGTCCTCATCCTAGCAATGATAGGAAGGATAGAGTTACCTGTGAATATCTTCAATATGACTAGGGCGAAGCTGAACTGCGACAGAGATGTTCTTATAGGCCTTCAGTGGGAGACCATGGATATGTGGTCCGAGATGCTGACCTAATGTAGGCTCCCTAAAGAAACTTAACGACAGACTCTGTGCCTGTATAGATACGAGCTTGACTTACTTCAAACGTGCGTTGAGAGCTTTTGAAATCATCCGAGTTAGCGTATCTTTCCTCAAGCAAAGGTCTTGGAAACAAGAAGCTTGGCTTTCGTTCTCACAAAAAGGTCGTGTACCATAAATTGCCATGTTCATTCGGAGAGACTTCGAAATCACTTACGCTCGGACCTCCACCCTGTAGTCCTCCAGGTTAGCATTGCCTCTGAGATACAATTGAGTCTTGAGACTTGAGACATGTTACGGGAGATCCTTCGCTCCCACGTGTCTACCGACTCAAAACGCGGTCTCAACCAGGACGAAGGAGCCGAAGTAACAGACGTACATCTCCTCGCTAGTCAGCACGACCTTTTCGTTCTTTAGCGATCATCGACTTTATGGGGCGAGGAGATACTTGCACTCCTTGCTCGATGAAGACGCAGGTGATAACGGTCGCTGGCGGACTATCAAATGTCAGCCACCACTCGAGCAGATGAACCAAGCGCTGACTACCTCGAACATTGCGGCTTTGGTCCACTTCCAGTCTGGGAAAATACTGTTGTTTAAGATTTGAGTATCTCTACTCCGTTATTTGAAGAAAGTCCAATCCATAGGGCTGAACGGGGCAGGTGGTTCCCCGCTGAGGTTGAGTAGACAGGTTTAGCAATGTGATTTAAAAGAATAATTTAAAATGAAAAGGGTAATAATTCAATAGGCTAACCATACAGAGTAGTTATTAGCCTCATCGATTATCTATAAATTAAATTACTATTTTATATTATAAAATAGTAATTTAATTATAAAGTTACTCTATACGACGTTAATATAATTATTTATTTAAATATATAAAATTAAATAATTAGCTAATAGATCTATTAAGCTTTTATTATATATATCTTTTATCTTTTTATTATAATAGGTATGTAGGCCATTATAGAGTATAAGAAACTTAATTCTTTCTATCTAGAAATCTATTACTTTATAATGATAATAAGCTTGGCAAGCTTGACAAAGCTTAGCAAAGTAAGCTTAACAAAGTAAGTACCTTCCCCTTACCTTATGTAACAACATCCCCACAAACAAAAAGAAAGCATAGCGATCTCGCTAAAGCAAGAAGCAAATGTCTACCTAAAAAGTCTTTCTTAAAGAAACATCTTTCTTAAAAAAACGTCTTTCTTAAAGAAAGGCTTTCTTGAAGAAATCTCCGAAGAAATTCTCGAAGAAACCTCCTTCCCGAAGAAACTGAAAGAAACATTATTCTCAAAGAAACAGCAACTTCCTCCATCTCGAGTCGGCGAGATTCCCGAATTCTCACCGTAATATTCCCTAGCCCTAGCGAGAAGGTATTTCCTAGCGGGGATGATATGGATTATATATACGAGCCAGTTCGTCCTCATATTCTTTAACGAGATCTATAGTATTATTAAGATTCTTAACGTTATATTACTTATCGTATACTAAATCGTAATCTTTTTACTTAATAAGATATTTTATAGTAAAATCGCGATTCTTAACTATAATTCTCTTATTAAATAGCCGATCGATCTTATAAAACTTTTATTTTTTAATATCGCCTTCGACGAAGATCGATAGCGAGTAATCTAGTCTCGAACGATTAAAGGAATTATTCTATAACGTAGACTTTAGTTACGCTATAATGAATATAGAATATACTCGCTAATTCTTAGAAATATCGAGGCGATACACTAGATAATTAACTCGATTAAGGATCTTAAAGAGATCGATATACTATTAAGAGAGTTTCTTAGTAATTTCGAGATTTATAGAAATATTATAGCCTTTATAGAGATATAGAAATACGTAATCATCGACCTTAAGAAATATTAACTAATAATATCTATCGTAATAATATTTAATATTAATATTAGCGAAAGCTATAGTATTCTTCACTAAATTTCGAATATAAAGAAAGTTCGACGTGTTTGAAGATTCGAGAAGATCGAGAGATATATTTAAAGTAAAGTCGTAGGCGACTTCGTTGAGAATATTTCTAGTCGCTGACGACGTCGAATTATTAAGTAATTTCTAAAGTTAAGATAGAATTTTTAACTATAAAGAAGTCTTATTAAGTATTATATTAATATAAAAATATATAGCGATCTTCATCATCTAATTAGTTCTTTTGCTATTATTATTAATTTATAGATAATAAGTAATAAAATAAAGTAGAGAAACGTCGAGACGCTAAAATAGTATTTACTATAATTCTAAAAAAAACTTACAATCTCTATTTAAGATAATAGCCTTAGAAATACCTTAGTTAGCTATCTCGAGCCTATTAAGTAAGATATTAATTTATTAAGCTATTAATTACGTAGATTTCTTAAATACATTTATTACTCGCTTAATGAATTTATCGATAACTAATATAATAGCGTTAAAGTCTTTTTTAGACTTCGATAAAACGAGTATAAAGTTGATTGTAAATATATAAAAGGAAATTAATAGCGAGTCGATAAGGCTTAGCGATCTATACGATTAATAATATCTAATTTAAAGAATTTAATAATTTAAATAATAGCGAATAAATTCTCATAACTAATTAATAAGACCTCTAATATATTAGAATACTAATATAATTTTATAGTATCTTTAAAATCTCGAATAGCTATTATTATAGACTAGATATAAGATTTTATTAATAACTATTAATAAAATATAGAGTTATTAATAATTAGTAATCCTATCGATATAATAGATTAAATCTCGAGATTAAGAATCTAAAGTTTCTCGAGATCTTTAAAATTCTTAGAATCCTAGAGTTACTAGCGACGTATTTTCTTTATATCGAAACTCTCGAAAATCCGGAGTTGCTTATAATTTCCAGAGAGTTTCTTAAGTAAATTCTTAAGATTTCTAAGTTTCTCGAATAAATCCTTAGATTCTTAAGTAAGAGTTATAAGTTACTTATAATTCCTAAAAAGTTTCTTAAGTGAATTCTTAGAATTTCTAAGTTTCTCGAGTAAATTCTTAAATTTTCAAGTAAGGGTTATAAGTAAGTAATATTAATAAATTCCCGCGGATAAAAGAAAGCATTACGGCGTTCTCGCTAAGATCTTTATTATTATTAATTTACTATAATAGATAAAAGTATTAGAGATCGAATTTATAGCCCTTAAGAATATATTTTTAAAAGTCTTCAAATATTTCTATTAAAGAATAAGTGCTTATATAAAAAGTATTTAACTCTATATAATCGAGATAGATAAATTTCTTATTATTATTTATACTTGCTAGTCGTAATAGCGCGTCTAAAATAATATAATTTTTTTTAAATTTATATCTAATATCTAGCTTAAACTAGCGAAGAAATTAAGAGATACGTATAAGACGAATATTTATATATACTATAGAGGATATCGTAA